TAGAATATAAAATTCTTCCTCTTCAGCTTTGGGAGATAGAATATAAAATTATTCCTCTCCCGCATCGGGTTCGTCTTTGCCCCAAGAGAAGACTCCGCTTTTTCGAACTCCTAAAATCCGTGCCTCACACGCACGGGGAATTTTATCCCGAATCCTAAGCAGGGATAAGTTAACGCCTAACACGCGTTGTCGGTTAAGTTTTTTACCGATTGAAAAAGACACCAGAATCCAGTCTGGAGCATTTTATCCCGAAGCCTAAGTAGGGATAAGTCAGCGCTTAACCCGTGTTGCTGGGTGGTTCGTTCCCATAAAAATGACCGAGTCTACGTATTCAGTATCGTAACAACAAAAATCCATGACTTTTATGCATGGGGAATTTTATCCCGAATCCTGAGCAGGGATAAGTCAACGCCTAACACGCGTTGCCGGTTAGTTCTTAACCGTAAAAAGAACAAAAGCCCACATATTCAACATTGTGGTAGGTTGTTATTCATAACGTCAAAATCCGTACTTCATACGCACGGGGAATTTTATCCCGAAGCCTAAGTAGGGATAAGTCAGCGCCTAACACGCGTTACAGGGTAGTCTATTCCCGTAAGAAAGACGAAGTCTACGTATTCAATATCGTAGCACTAAGAGAGTTAACTCTCTTAGCACAACGTTACATGTGAAAACGGGTTTAAACAATTCACATGCTAGCCCGATTCAAACGGTAGTCGGTAAAGACACGTCAAATCCGTTGATGGCTGAGGATTTGCCAAAAATCCTAAGTCTACGTCTAACACACGTCGTTGTTTAGTCTTTTCACAGGAGAAAGACGAAGTCTACATATTCAACATCGTAGCACTAAAAGAGTTAACTCTTTTAGCATAACGTTATGTGCAGAACGGATTTAAACAATCTACATACTAGCCCGACTCAAACGGTAGTCGGTAAAGGCTAATCAAATCCGTTGATGACTGGAAATTTGCCAAAAATTCTATAAATGCGGGGCATTGACGCATCAACTTTATTAGTTGGTCTCGTGACTTGAGCATCCAACGACTTTGGGATAAGATCCATATCTGCAGACAAAACAACTTTAATAGTTGGTCCTGCAGCCCAGAACTTGGGACCATCACGCTCCAATGCCTTAAGAGCTTAAACTGTGTAGACCCCAGAAAACGTACGAGTATAAACTGTATTAACGCCGGTCAACGCGTTACAGTAAAGATCGATGTCGGTCAACGCATCATCAATCTCGCCAAAATAAGGCAAAGAATGATTCCAGGGAGTTCAATCGCATTCAGATGTGAATTTCTGACGGAGATGATCAGTTCAAAGTCAACTCAATGGCACTAGCTAAATTCGGAAACTTACGCATCAACTGTAATCCAAGATTTCGACAACGGTCAGACGATAAACGCAGCACCGGAAGAACTTCATCTATTCGACAAAACACCGAATAGACTGAAGGCTGAAGAAGTCAAGAATTAAAGCAGTTCACAGGTCCCTCTACGAGATTGAGGAAAGGGTCTATCTTATCCAAAGTATTTTATACTCTATAAAAGAATGAGTCTGAAATACTTTGGAGGGGGTATCTGTAGGCGTATAAAAATGCCTATAGGTTCCTACACACAGCTCGGGTGGAAATGCAGACGATAAGCATCATCATCCAAGTTAGAAAAGGATTATATGGCCCCGTGAAAGCTAGAGAATATACAAAGTGAGTTATTGGAGTGTACAAGTCACCGGAATGACGAAATACGCAATACAAGTTCGGAGAAGTCAGAAAGTGTCGAACACCTCAAAGTGGACCGCAAAATAAAAATGAATTTAGACCATGCTATGATTTGAATTTGAAAAAGTTCAAAACATAAAAGTTGTAGATCTCTTTGTCAGCTTTCCAATTCCTCTTGAATCAGCTTAATCGGAGGTCGTACGAAAGAGTTAAGACCAAAATACCGAAGGTATCTTAAAGACCCGTGCCCCGCACGGGCGCGGGTCGGATCGGTCCGACCCGCGCGGCGGTGGGTCGGATCCATCTAACCCGCGCCCACGCGGGTCACATCAGTCTGTCTCGTGTCCAGAACTGCCTGTAACCTCCAAAACACGTTTTTAGGCTGTTTCGATCGGTTTCTTCTGTTTCAGAGGTTCCTAACTGCCTAGATATCATCTACAAATATGGTTAGGCCGTTATTAACTAAAGATAAGGCCAAATCACTCATTCTGATCCAAAATCCCCCCAACCGAAGCCTATAAATACGGGCTCAGGGGCTCATTTCAAGGGGCGATTTATTATCAAGAGGAGGAGGTGCTGTCGGATTGAGGAGTCAAAGGAGCACGAATTTCTACGAGGGTTGACAGATCTTGGCAAGTTCTTCAGCATAAAGAAGGAGAGTTCGAGAGATCCGACGCCCGTTCCCGTCCGTTCCTTGAGATTAGGCTTGGTCTTAATCTCGAGAAGAGCTACTGATTTCGCTTGGTCGATTTCAGCGCTTCAAGCAAATACCTTCTTGGTGTGGTAGGAGCTCTGCCGAATTTTCTATCAACCGGATCCAGATCAAAGACGGTCCACGGATATTAAAATCCCCGGCACAGGCAAAGATCCCGCACAAGCAGAAGACCGATAAACGGTTTCCCTGCGTTTGTTTTGACGAGAGTTGTAATCTTTTATTTTATTGTGTAAAAGTCTTATAAAAAGACTATCTTTTTGCTTTCATTGTAACGACTAAAGTTGTAATGAATACCGTAATGAATACAATAATTTTTGACGAAAACAGTTAGTTCTATTTCGTGTTCGTGTTAGTTCTAACTAAGTTCGTGTTAGTTCTAATTTATGAATTAGAACTAAAACGAACCGAGTTTGAATTAACACGAACACGAAATAGAACTAACATGAACACCAATTAGACCTAACATGAGTTAGAACTAACACGAACACAAAATAGAACTAACATGAATACCAATTAGACCTAACATGAGTTAGAACTAACACGAACATGAAATAGAACTAATATGAACTCCAATTAGACCTAACATGAACTTTTATTAGACCGAACATGAACTTTTATTAGACCTAACACGAACTTTTATTAGACCTAACATGAACTTTTATTAGACCTAACATGAAATCATGTTATGTCTAATTCAATTTGTTTTAAGCCTAATTTAATTGGACTTAACTTAAAATTAGACATAAAAAAGTTAAATTAGACTTAACATGATTTAAATTAGACTTAAAAAGAATTTAACATGTTTGAAATTAGACTTAAAATTTTGTGTTAGGTCTAATAAAAGTTCGTGTTAAGTTTAATTGCATGTTAGGTCTAATAAAAATTCATGTTAGGTCTAATAAAAGTTCATGTTAGGTCTAATTGGAGTTCATGTTAGTTCTATTTCGTGTTCTTGTTAGTTCTAATTCATGTTAGATCTATTTGGTGTTCATGTTAGTTTTATTTCCTGTTCGTGTTAGTTCTAACTCAGTTCGTGTTAGTTCTAATTCATGAATTAGAACTAACACGAACTGAGTTAGAACTAACATGAACTGAAATAAAACTAACACGAACACGAAATAGAACTAACATGAACACTAGTTAAACCTAACATGAGCTAGAACTAACACGAACACGAAATAGAACTAACACGAACACGAAATAGGACTAACATGAACTCTAATTAGACTTAACACGAACTTTTATTAGAACTAACACGAATTTTTATTAGACTTAACATGAAATTAGACATAACACGAACTTTTACTAGACCTAACACAAAATTTTAAGTCTAATTTCAATCATGTTAAATTCCTTTTAAGTCTAATTTTTATCATGTTAAGCTTAATTCAATTTTTTAAGTCTAATTTCATATTATGTCTAATTAAATTAGACTTAAAATAAGTTGAATTAGACATAACATGATTTAAATTAAACTTAAAAGGAATTAAATTAGACTTGATATGAAATTAGACTTAAATTGGACTTAACATGAAATTAGACTTAACATTAAATTGGACTTAATATGAATTAAATTGAACTGAAAATAAACCAAACATGAACTCTAAATAGACCTAACATGAAATAGGCTTAACACGAACTCTAAAATAGACATAAAATGAAAGAATAGAGTAGATAAGGGCATTTTGAGGTTTTGTACTTTTTATCCTCTCTCTATGCTGAGTTGGCGGGTAATAATTGCTAAAAGAGGGTTGCAGCACAAGATGACACACTTTTTGGGGTTGAACCACATGGAAAAAAGTTAAAAGGGCTGCAACACATGAAGATATTGCTTTTGGGGTCTTGACATAATTTTCCATTCCTTAAAAAAAGGCTAAAAATATTTCACTTAAATATTCTAACGTTTTACTAATCTTGTGCTTAAGTAACTCAAAATTGAAAACCAAGCAAAAAAAAAATACCCTAACCTATTTAAGTGTTGCAGATAAATGTCACATAGTTAAAAATGACACCGACAACATTAATTTTTCTCTATGTATTCAAGAATATTACATAACAGAAGATAATAAACTGAATCTTTTAGAAACTTTATAGTAATTAAGTGAGGTTATTTAAAAAGTAAGAGTATGCATGTGCCATATTGGGGTAAACGAGAAGGCATGCAACATTATCTAAACAAGAGGACACCAACGTATAATATTTTAAAGCTTTAGATCATTTACCCGTAATACTTAAATATTTTGGGTCACTTAAGTGCACTATTTTCAATTAAGCGAAAAATAAAGTTCGAGGTTGTTTAAAAAGCAAGAGTATTCATATGCCATATTGGGGTAAACGGGAGGGTACCAACATGCAACATTATGTATAATATTTTGAAGCTTTAGAACATTTATCTATAATGCTTAAATATTCTGGGTCATTTAAGAAACATTTAAGTGCCAAAAAAAAAGGGGAAAGAAAAAGCCAAAAGCTCTCTGTACGGTCTACTTCGTAGCGGGGGGATAATACTCATAAACAATTTTAATTTGTATGCAAATCATTTATATTCTCCGCGTGCCGCTCACCGACCCCCTTTAAATCCTCCCTTATTTTTGCGTAAACTCAAATCCATCCATCTCTAGGTTTCTCTCTCTCTCTCTCTCTCTCTCTCTCTCTCTCTCTCTCTCTCATGAGATCTTGAAGAAGAAGATGAAGTTTGGAGAGACGTTTGCTGAGTATCTCCATGGCGAGCAGGAGTCGTCCCTTCAGAAGTGCTCTCACGTCGAGTACAAGAGGCTGAAGAAAGTCCTCAAAAGCTGCCGCCTTTGCCGGTCGATCGAGATCGAGGCCGACGGCGTGGATCTTCATGCTGATCTTGATGATGGGGACATCGGCGAAGAGAATGAAGCGCTCTCTAAGTTCTGCAGCTGCGATCGCTGTCCGTGTACGCTCTTTTGATCTTTCTCTTTTAAGTCTATCTTTGCCCTTAATTTGGTCATTTTTGAAAATGTGATTTTGCTGTAGAAAAAACCTAATCCAGGAGAATTTTGTTGTTAGATTGTGGGAAGTGGATGGCACAATGCTTCGTGGTCCTGGTAGGGCTATGTACATCTGTTCAAGATCGTTTTTTTATTCAGATGAAGTGGAAGAATCCCTTTACCAACCTGTTTTTGGACGTATCTTATTGTATAAGTTCTCCTAGTTACTATAGTTTTTGGGTTTTTATTTGTATACAACCCAATCAACCATATTTGCAAATTTACCCCAAAATACTCACATTGTGTTAAATAGCTCCAAACTTGAGCATTGTTAGTTTTTGAGTGGCCGGAAAGGGGAAACTTAAGCTGGAAAAACAACAAGAACGAAGCATTTATCCCAAATATTTGGGATGGGCTACATGAATCACATTCGTCCATTCAGTTCTATTTTGGGTCATCCCCTTTGTTAAGTTAACTATTGTCATATCATTCTTAATTGCCTCTGTTGTATCATGAGAATTACCAAATCTAATGAAATCTACAAAGTCGGCCACGTGTCATAATTAACCGACTGAGTCTTACTAATATGAAAGTTCGACCCGGGTGTGAGCATCACCGACCCTTCTGGCGGCCCAAGACCGAGATGAAAGGTGTCTTCGAATTTAGGTATGCCAAAAGAAGCTGGTTCCTAGATGAAATTCATCTTCTACCCGGACCTCCCTAGAGAATGTCTCGAATAACGAGACGACCTATCAGCTTCAATAGTTATACTTCGTCTCTCAATCACCATCGCACTTAATGTTGAGTCAGAGTCATTATGACTCTTCGGGCCGAAGTTATGGCTCCTCAGATCATGCCAACACTTCAGCCTTTCTGAAACTATCGCATTAAACGCGAAGATAACTCATTCAACCGGCTGCCGACACGTGCAAAGTGAGGTCTGATCAGCCTGCTGCACTAACCCGGTCAAATTGTTGATGTGCTCCTACCAACCCTTTATAAATAGTGGGCAATCTCCACTATTTAAAGGTACGCAAGAAATTGCTAAACAAATCCCTGAAACTAGATTCTACAAAATTGTTTAATCTATTACTAACTTGGACATAGGAGGGCAGGCCAGAGAAACCGACTCCGACCCTCTAACAGGTGTTTCTTGTGCAAGAATCTATTTTCTCCTAACTGATCAGCTATCAAGGAAGGTCATGGGCCGCTAAACTCTAAATATGCAGTGACTCATACAGTCAACTTTCTGACATAAACAGCTTCCAACCAAGTTCTTTTAGATCTACTTCTAAATATTTTTCTCTCATTAACTATAATAATATGATTACTTTTCCTAACTAATGCATCAAAAGGACTCCATTATACATAACCAAACTATCTCAGCTCATCCTTTTATTTTATGCTCGATAAGAGCAACCTCTAATTTTCTACGAATGTACTCATTTCTTATCCTATCTTTTAGTATATACCCGCCAGACAATCATAAAATTCTCAATTTTGATACATTGGGTTTCATATGTTGCTTTTCATTGTCCAGCATTCTGATCCATAAAACATTTTTGGTCTTATAACTGCCCTAAGAAAACAGGACTATCTTGAGAAATTTCAGCTAACTAAATGGAAAATAGGAATTTCCTGGGAATATTCCTTAGCATAACTTTTCTCGGGGGGGGGGGGGGGGGGGGGGGGGGGGGGGGGGGGGGGGTATTTTTTAATTCAATTGTGGTAGAATTTGAGAGTAAATTAGCAAACTTTTTTTTGGCAGGAGGTTGGGGAATCTGATTTGCAGGTATACAGTTTTAATAACCTACTTTTTATTTAATCAATGTTTCCATATAAATGACATGTGGTACGCCAAGATGGATCATTATTACCATTTTTCATGACCAATATATTTCCGAGGAGATTGTTTTGATATATTTCATGAAATGTGTCTTTTGATAATTAATTTATGTACTGCAATTGTCGTTTATTTTTAGCATGTGATGAGAAGTTCTTTGCTGAATTGACAAAAGAGGCTTCGGAGATAGCAGGATGTTTCCGCTCAAGAGTAAGACGACTCCTCCATCTGCATGTTTCTTCAGGAGGTCTGCAAGGATATATGTGGAGGCTGCGCCATTGTTTCATGGATAATCAACAAATCTTGATTCAAGAGGGAAGAATGTTATTTGATTATGTTACAATGAATGCTATTGCGATCCGAAAGATACTTAAGAAGTATGATAAGGTATGCAAATTAACATTCACTACATTTAAGTAGTAGTTTTTTTTTTGGTGTAATTTAGTTACATTATTGTTTGTTATGCTTCAGGTTCATGGGTCTATCAATGGAAGAAAGTTTAAGACCAAAATGAGCACAAAGCACATTGAATTGTTGCAGTCACCTTGGTTAATAGAGCTAGGTGCATTTTATGTGAACTTCACTGGGTCAGACATGGGAGAACCTGGTGAGTTTTTCAGGAGGTTCTCTTGTGATTTAAGTGGTTCTCGGCCTGTAATGACTATGACTTTTTCTGAATCCATCAAGTACGAATACAGCCTTACATGTGCTGTTTGTCTGGTAAGATTTTGATTTCATTTCTCATAGTGAAATGTATTATTTGCTTCGTTCCAAGATTTGTTGGAGTTGATACTATATCTAATATAATATCCCTATCATCCCGTTACTATTTTCGCTCCTCTTCTTGTGATTATTTTGCTATACCTTTTCATTTTAATACTAACATGATAACCGACCACACTTTTTTTTCTCTTTTGTTTGTTTGTGATCTTGTCTGCATGTGTTTTTGTTCATGTGTGTGATTGTATGTATAAAAGTTCATGTACTTTCGTTCTTTTAATTGCCAAATGCAAATTTTATTCCTATTGAAATATATATTTTCTACAGGATACTCTATTTAATCCATATGCTTTGAGCTGTGGGCATCTATTCTGTAAGAGTTGTGCTTGTTCTGCTGCTTCTGTACTGCTTTTCCAAGGCCTCAAGACAGCACCAAGAGAAGCAAAATGCCCTGTGTGCAGATCGGTATGTAATAATTTAATTCTTCTCATTTATTAACTTTCCTGTAACTAGTACTTGTACTAGAAGAATTGCATGCTTTCTTGTTGGTGATTGTTAAAATGTTGATCATAATACTATGTTTATTATACCTTCTTGGGCTTATATGAAACGAATGTTTTTTTATATTTTGAAGGATCATTTATTTCTCATATTTGTGTACTATGTTTACGCTTTATATATGGTGTAGGAGGCAACTTGTTTGACCCTTAGATATGTGATATGGAATGTGGTATTGTTTGTAAATAGTGTCTTTATGGTTCAATTCCCTCATTTTAACTATTTAAAACTCTCTGTAGTGAGGTGTTTAATGGTCTTTATTACTGGTGTACAAAAATATCCATATCTGTGGAAATATCAGTATCCGTTAAGATGCAGATATGGTCACTAAAATCTATGTCCGATAGGATGTGGTTGCGGATATGGATATGTGCTGAAATATTCGGATTTGTATTCAAAATATGTTGGTCATACAATTGTAACACTTTTAATTCTTAGATTAATGGATTTGAGGTTAATTTTGATGATCAAGAGATCTAGTCTTAACCTTTTCAAAAAATAATGAACATATTACTGAACTCTTTTGCATCCTATGACCTATAGTGTTTTTCAATATTATCTAGTTTTCTCAAATCTGTTTTGTATCCACATGTATATTCACTTATGAATCTACATAAATATCCATATCCGTATACATTTTAGCAGATATGGATATGAATTTTCCTTACTGAAGCATATTTGTCTCTGTGATTGGTTAGCAAATACAAATATGACAAGTATCATATCTGAGCCATATCCGAACCATATGCACTCCTAGTCTTTATTGTTCTATTTGTTTTGTAAGGAATTTGAATTATATTTCTGGCTAAATTTCAGTTAACTGCGATGTAGATGTATCTAGAACTCCTAAACATTGGTTACCTTTTACTTGCATATCATTAGACAACTAGAACTCTTAAGATAAGCTATATCCCACCAAGGTTTCCTACCTTCTATCGCATTATTCTAGGATGGTTTTGTTTCTCGAGAAATGATGAGAAAGAAAGTCAGAGGTATACATGCACGGAAGTTAAAGCAAAAATAAGCCGCTACAAATATATGGACATTACTTTCTCATCATTTCATTTCTATGCATGTAGGTTGGCGTATTTGGCAAAGCAGTACATATGCAAGAACTAGACCTCCTACTGAAGAACAGGTGCCTGGGGCCTGCAATATCCTATTATTCATTTAATTATGTATTATATAATCACCTGATCGAGATGTTTAATTGGAAAGCTGCATTTCTAATTCTTTCTGTTTCAATCTCTTTAGATGCAAAGACTATTGGAAAGAGAGGCTGCGTGAGGAGCGTGCTGAGATGGTGAAGCAAACTAAAGACTACTGGGAGTCTCAGAAAATGACAGCTTTGGGGTTTTGACTTTTGCGATTTATCTTGAGCGATAACTACTTTTTTGTCAGCATAATTGTGTGCCTTATTTGGATTATAGTATTCACTGCACGTGCAATCTGTAATCCAGTCTCGTTCTGGTTACTTGTCAATAATTGCCGTCAGGTTCTTTCCTCCTTTGTGTCCTCTGTGGGAAAATAGAAAGAATGTAGATGAGTATCCCAAAGATAAAGATAGAAATGTTAGATATGTGCTTGGGATTAGACGAAGAATTTGTGCAGGCAATACTCTGATATTTTCGCTTTGTCTGCCGTGCAAAAAATTACAGTGATATCTATTCTACCATGGTGACTATAACAATGGCCATATTGTAATGACGAGGATAATGGTCTTGATGATTACCTTGAATATCTACCTTGATTTTTGGACCCACGCATGCCCATCTATTGGTGTACATAGGGGTGCATGAAAATGTCCATATCCGAGAAAATATCTATAATTTAGATATAGTGTTACTAAAGTCTATAACTGATGAGTTATGGTTACGGATATGATTATTTAGTGAAACATTCGGATCTGTCTTCGAAATATTTGAATATATATATTGGTCATACTATTGTAATAGTTTTCATCCTTAAATTAATGTATTTGAGATTAATTTGATGATTAAGATATCAAATCTTAGCTTTTCAGATATAACAAACATATTAATAAACTCTCTTATATGATATAAGCTATATTTTTTCTCATTATTATATGGTTTTCTTATATCCATTTTATATCCGCATGTATGTGCACGCATGTACCCACATAATATTTAAGCCATATGTGAGCCGTATCCAGGCCGTATGCACTCCTAGGTGTGTTCCTTCGCACACAATACTTGTAAATCATTGATATGTCATCAATTTTGTAACTCTATTCCTCGAGTTTATAACCCGTAAGTTTGGACACCAATTGAAGGGGTACTCCCTCCTTTACATATAATGAGAAATTGGTGGAACTCCTAAATGCACAAAATAATGACACATAATTAAGCATGTAAGACAATGACAAGTTTCATATGTTATTTTATTTTTAAATTAGAATTCTATGCATGGTTTATTTTCTATTTATAATTAGAATAAAATCCTCATCAAATTAAATCTATCCATAATTAGAATTCTCATCAAATTAAATCTATCTATAACAAGAAAGTTTTTAATTAATTAAAAAATTAATATACAGCTCTTGAATCATTTCTATTTTTAGATTAACCCATAAACTACAAACAATTCCTAGAAAATAAAAAAACTATAAATATATCCCTCTAAAAATGATGAAACTATAAACGACACTCTGAAAAATCTAAAAATTATAAAAATTATAGAGAATGCCCTGAAAAATATAAAAATTACTAACGATTGACTTTAAATTCTAGAGTCATATATAAACCCCTAAAACTCCAAAAATAACAAATATATCTCTTAGGAGAAATCTAAAAATTATAAAAATGATAGAGAATGCCCTAAAAAATATAAAAATTACTAACGATTAACTTTAAATTCTAGAGTCATATATAAACCCCTAAAACTCCAAAAATAACAAATATATCTCTTAGGAATATGAAAATTATAAATAACCCACTGAAAATTCTAAACTTGCAACAAAAAACTCTAAAAAATATTTAAAATTTCTAAAAGACATAAAATTTTTAAAATACAAAGAACTACCCATAAATTAAAACTTCACAAAATAGCTCACTGCAAACACTGAGAATTATGCATAAGCATGTAAGACAATGACAAGTGTCAAATGTTATTTTAGTATTAAATTAGAATTCTTATATGCAATGTTTATTTTTATTTTTATTTAGAATAGTATTCTAATCAAATTAAATCTATTTGTAACTAGAAAATTTTAATAATAGTCATTTTTCTATTAATTAAAAAGTTAA